CAAAATCAAATAAAAACCCACAAATGTAAACTCTACTTTCCTAGCTCATAATTATTAAATAAAAACTAGCGTTTGCCCGTAGTTTTCCCTTATAAATCGGTCTGCTAATAAAGTTTTGTGTTTACGCGTTTCTCGGTCAAAAACGGTCTGTTTGTTCGGAAAAGCATAAAAACTAGTTTTTCACGTCGCTAACATAAGAATTTATAGAGGTAGAATTTAGTGTGGGAAACACAAACTTTCATTCTACTTCATTTTTCATTTCCTTATGATTTTTATGACACAATTACCCTGGCAATCTTATAAGTAGATCGCATCGATCTCTAAGTTATACTTAATCTGTTTGTTACCTACTCTATGTCTCTTATGCCAAAATTCATCGCAATTGGCACAGTTTAGAGTTTGTAACACACTGACTTTCATATTTACAATTTAATATGGATGACCAAATTGTGCAATTAATCCCAAATTTTTAAGTGACCCCTTTGAAAACAAATTCCTGTTAACTGTTACCATAGGGGTCACTTAAAAATATGGGATTGATGGTGAAAACGGTCATTAATTGCAATTTGATACGGGCGTAAGACTACTTAAAAATACGTCGTCATTCTCTATGTAGAGACTCGTACATTACATAATTTAACATACAACAGCTAAAAAACCAACTACTAGTAACAGAATACATGTTTAATATACTCTGGTTTATTTATTATGTCCCTTAACTTGGCTCTATTAGTGCCAAGAGACAAGTTATGTACCAAACAAATACCATTTAGCAAATAGAGGTTGAAAACAATTTTAATTTAGCCACGAACAGAGGGCAATCTGTGGGGAGTACTAAAATAAACTAAGTAAAACTAAAATTTTAGCGACAGAAAACGTACTTTAGCGAAATTTAATTTTAATATGATATACGTTTTTGCCTTCGCAACGTTGTTTGGGTTGGTACTTTTCTTTTGTTCTTCGTAATTAATTTAAATAAATTAGTTCTTAGACAGAAAATAATAGAACTTTTGGCAGGTTTTTTATTACGGAGGCTCAAATTTGACAGCTTATCGGCCATCTTGGTAAAAACGGGACTATTCCCACCTCTCGTTCCCACCACTGCAACTCCTGTGTAGCCAGGATCTACAGCTTGACCGCCACAAAAACCCAACCAATGAAGGTCAAGTTTGTCCCGGGGGAAAGTTAAACTGTCATTGGACCCGCAACGAAATTAATCAGAAGGACATAGGAGGAGTTCGAAATTAAGGTTCGACTTCCCTCCATTGCAAAGCGGATGACAGGTGACAAACAAAGGTTTAAAACCATCTTGGTAAAGTAAATCATCATCGTCAGGCCATTTAGTCTCCACTGCAGGAGTACGACCCTCTCCAATTTACCATAGACAAATCGAGGCCATACCTACATCCACGTTGAAAAGTTGGAGTGGTCCAATACTACTCTGTTCATTATATACAGGGTGTTAGATAAATGGGTACTAAAGCCTGGTCAGTGAGCACGTAGAATTTTGTCCAATGACCCCAAGCTACCCATCCTTATCGCTCGCGCGTAATTATATTGCTGTCGCGACTGTGCGACTGGCGCCCGCAGTGAGTGTGTGGGACAAAATTCTACGTGCTCACGGACCATACTCTCTAATCTGTGCACGGACCAGGCTTTACATGTTACACTTACCCATGTTAACATATGCATATAAATGGTATGGTGAAGTCAAAAAATTGATATCATCATTTTAATTATTTTAATTTTCATACAAATCTGATTTTATAAATTTTATTTTGTATGAACATTTAAAAATTAAAATGATGATATCAAATTTTTGACTTCACCATACCATTTATATGCATATTTTAACATGGGCTAGTGTCGGCTCATATACCCATTTACCTAACACACCCTGTAGAAATATACTCACCATAACTATTCAAATTATATTTCAGTTTCCCAAAGTACATTTTAACCGATTGCATTTCAGAAATTCCAGTTGGCACCGAACCATCCATTTGCCGGAATTTACGAATGGTAGCCAGAGATAACATTCATAAATTTGCTTGTACCAATACAGACCGAAGCATTTTGGACAGCTTGCAGTGATCTACTAGTTCGTACAAATTGCGATTCACGCGAACTTAATAAGCAAGCAATTTGTAAAGCTGATTAATATATGGAATACTAGCTTTCCGCCCGCGGCTTCGCCCGCGTGGAATTTTGTCTGTCACAGAAAACCTTTATAGTGCGCGTCCCTGTTTCAAAAACCGGGATAAAAACTATCCTATGTCCTTTCCCTGGATTCAAACTATCTCCATGCCAAATTTTGTCAAAATCGGTTTAGTGGTTTAGGCGTCAAAGCAAGACAGACAGAGTTACTTTCGCATTTATAATATTAGTATAGATATTATAGATATAGAAGTATACAGGATAAGAGACACACACACACACACACACACTCTCTCTCTCACACACACACACACACACTCACCCACACACACTCTTTCTCTTTCCTTTCACACTCTAATAGGTAGGTATATCAAATTTAATCGTAAAGTAACAATCACCACTGTGGTCTAGTGGTAAGACTATCTATTTAGGACAGCCAATTCCTCTGTGGTTTAGGATTCCGGGTGAAGCTCGCTGATCATCCAGCAGTTTCCAACTTTCCATCAGGTCAGATGAAGGGCAAGAGCTTTCTCGTTGTGGATNAATTTGACCATTGGTTATTTTAACTACGAATTAAAAAACTGGGCCTTAGACCATTGGTTATTATATTATTATTGTTATTGGGCCTAAGGCCCAGTTTTTTAATTCGTAGTTAAAATAACCAATGGTCAAATTTGACAGATGTCAAATGACAAGTGGTTAAATATCAGAAAAAAATGTTTTTCGAACAATGGTTAGCTTGACTTTTAGTACATTTTTTAACTATTAGATAACATTTTGTTAATATTTAACCATTAGTAGCAAAATTTAACAATTTGTTATTTTAACTATGAATCAAAAAACTGGGCCTTAGTCTCCACTGCAGGAGCACGACCCTCTCCAATTTACCATAGACAAATCGAGGCCATATCTACATCCACGTTGAAAAGTTGGAGTGGTCCAATACTACTCTGCTCATAATATACAGGGTGTTAGATAAATGGGTACTAAAGCCTGGTCCGTGAGCACGTAGAATTGTGTCCAATGACCCCAAGCTACCCATCCTTATCGCTCGCGCGTAATTATATTGCTGTCGCGACTGTGCGACTGGCGCCCGCAGTGAGTGCGTGGGACAAAATTCTACGTGCTCACGGACCAGGCTTTACATGTTACACTAACCCATGTTAACATATGCATATAAATGGTATGGTGAAGTCAGAAAATTGATATCATCATTTTAATTATTTTAATTTTCATACAAATCTGATTTTATAAATTTTATTTTGTATGAACAATTAAAAATTAAAATGATGATATCAAATTTTTGACTCCACCATACCATTTATATGCATATTTTAACATGGGCTAGTGTCGGCTCATTTACTTATTTACCTAACACACCCTGTAGAAATATACTCATCATAACTATTCAAATTATATTTCAGTTTCCCAAAGTACATTTTAACCGATTGCATTTCAGAAATTCCAGTTGGCACCGAACCATCCATTTGCCCGAATTTACGAATGGTAGCCAGAGATAACATCCATAAATTTGCTAGTACCAATACAGACCGAAGCATTTTGGACAGCTTGCAGCGATCTACATAGTTCGTACAAATTGAGATTTACGCGAACTTAATAAGCAAGCAATTTGTAAAGCTGATTAATATATGGAATACTAGCTTTCCGCCCGCGGCTTCGCCCGCGTGGAATTTTGTCTGTCACAGAAAACCTTTATAGTGCGCGTCCCTGTTTCAAAAACCGGGATAAAAACTATCCTATGTCCTTTCCCTGGACTCAAACTATCTCCATGCCAAATTTTGTCAAAATCGGTTTAGTGGTTTAGGCGTCAAAGCAAGACAGACAGAGTTACTTTCGCATTTATAATATTAGTATAGATATTATAGATATAGAAGTATAGATAGGGCTGTAATAGGACCGTTGCGGACGAATGTCCAATTTTACGACAACAGCTCGCAGCTCCGTTTCAATGGCTTCGGAGGACACCGTCAAGTTTTAGTGGGTAGGTTCCGCCCTTCTGGTAGAGAGTGTCCCACTTAAATCCACTGACCATACCCCCATGTTATGCGCAAAGCATTTCCCAACGGAAAAGGGGAATAAATAGGCCTTGAAAGCGGGTACAATACCTTAATATGACATTAGACCATTTCTCAAGTAGGGGATTTGTAACCCATCATAAATACCTACTTTTCGCAGGAAGTTTGTATAAGTATTTCGTCTTCTACTAATTTCTACAGGGTGTTAGGTAAATGGGTATATGAGCCGACACTAACCCAAGTTAACATGGGCATATAAATTGGTGAAGTCAGAAAGTTGATATCTTCGTTTTAATTTTTTAAATATTCATACAAAATAAATTTTATAAAATCAGATTTGTATGAAAATTAAAATAATTACAATGAAGATATAAATTTTCTGACTTCACCATACCATTTATAATAATTATATGCCCATGTTAACATGGGCTAGTGTCGGCTCATATACCCATTTACCTAACACCCTGTATATTGTAACATCGGGTCTAGTAAAGCCCTTTCAAATTGAAACATAATTTAGAGATAGAATAATTGTTATTGTTGGAATCGAGTCAATTAGTCAATTTTAGCTTATTTATTTTAGGTACAGATTACCGAATAAATAAAATACAACATCAAGCTAAAATAATATCTTTTAGAGATGTTATTTTTTAGCAAAATGTTTAATTTAATGTACTACAAACAGACAGTACAATCGCAGTAAAAATATTTACTTAAAGAATTTTCTTTTTACCCGAATGTTCGTTGTAAAGACGGTTATTAATTGTTTATTGATGTGTATTCTAAATAGCTGTTCTCCTATTCCAGGTGGAACTGGCTCCATGGGTGCAGAACCTCTCCATCGACGCGTACTTCATATCCTACTACGTCTTCCGAGTCTTCTTCGTCCACCTCATTCCCTGCACCTCCCTGGTGGTCCTCAACGTCCTCCTCTTCAAGGCCATGAGGACCGCCCAGATCAACAGGCAGAAACTCTTCAAGGAAAACCGCAAGTCAGAATGCAAGAAGCTCAGAGACTCCAACTGCACCACTCTGATGCTCATCGTGGTCGTCACAGTGTTCCTAATGGTCGAAATACCTGTTGCCGTAGTCACTATTCTGCACATAATTTCCAGCAGCATAGTCGAGATTCTAGATTACAACATCGCTAACATCCTAGTTCTTGTCACTAACTTTTTCATTATCGTCTCCTATCCCATCAACTTTGCGATCTACTGTGGCATGTCCAGGCAATTCAGGGAAACTTTCAAGGAGTTGTTCATCAGAGGTGCTGTCACCAGCAGAAAGAACGGTGGCTCCAGTAGGTACTCCTTAGTCAACGGCCCTAGGACCTGCACGAACGAAACTGTGCTTTAGACGTCTAATGCTGTAAATATTCTTATGATAGCGTAAGTTTTTTGGATGTTTATTGTCTATTTTATAAATGTAGACATATCATGTAACCGTTCTTTTCGATGTTTTAGACGCTTCGGTAATTTTTTAGATTGTATAAGTATTAGCGCAATATACTTTTGCTGTTGTATAAATATACATAGTTTACTGTTTCTGATACTTTTCTTTGGCTGTGCGGTTACCTGATCAGTAGTTCTTTAAAGTCAAAAATATAGGGTGAAAATGTTCACGAGCGAATTGTTTCTAAAATATTGTTTAAATTATGTATATGTGTATTTAATAGGTGTTTCGTATCAAGATATAATGCTTAGTTGTAGGATTCACTCTAGCGTTGAATATTTTTACCGTATATTATACTCGATTAGCTGATCACACGGCCTTTGAATGGCGAGCCCCCATTGGGAAAGGTATCTGTAAACATATACATAAATTGTAAATATATATTATATAAAACTGTCATATAAATAAATCATTTATCTCAATTGTTTTAAAATGTGCTTAGATACCAATACGTATAATGACTTTTTATGTAAATAAAATAATTATAAACGTAGTGTAATATAGTATGTTTAGATGGATGTATAAAAGTAGATATATTTATATAAAAACGAGAAAGGTACTAATAAAGTATGATGTTTTGTTGTAATAAATTAGTATTTATAATTGTTTGTAATGCTTTTCTTTGGAACAATGTAGGATCAAATCTAAAATAGTCATTAATACAGTTTTATAATGTCAATCAACGGACCATGGCGAAATGAATCAAATTAACATATTAGACATAAATTAATAAAAAATAAATAAAATAAATATGTTTTGGGTTTTATTTAACCACCCTGTATTTTGAATTTTGAAAAAGTTCTCAATTTTAAAACTACTTTACAACAAGTAAAGGTTTAGCCAAACCAACGCGATCACACGCGATCTGCCGGCGTGCAGCGATGGCGATCAATGAATTTAAAGGTTCAGCCAAACCAACGCGATCACACGCGATCTGCCGGCGTGCAGCGATGGCGATCAATACATTTAGGTCTGGTCGCCATCGCTGCACGCCGGCTGATCGCGGTGTGATCGCGTTGATTTGGCCGAACCTTAAGTCATATTGTAAGTCTTGCGCTTAATTGAGTCAGTTATGAGAGAGGCACGGAATGAGGGCTATCGTTTTAGCTCTCACCAGTTAGCGCCACTGTAGAGTAAGGTCCTGTCACTTGCTAGTAGCGAAGACAGTGGCGCCAACTTGTGAGCGCTAAAGTGGACGGAGGAAGAGTGAAGGAGGACTATCGCATTTGCACTCATCAAGATGGCATCACTGTAGAGTAAGGTCCTGTCAATCGCCAGGGGTGCCAACTGTTAAGTATAAAAACGATAGCCCTCATTGGCATTATGACGTGACAGAGCAGACAAATCTATATCACATCTGAAATCTCGCTGACGTTATACGTCAACATAAACACCCTGGTTCTGGAATGGAGGCCGCGTACCGGAAAACGCAGCGTGGGACGTCCACCTACAAGGTGGACTGACGACATCGTAAAGGTAGCAGCAGGGAAGCGCTGGATGCAGGCTGCTACCAATCGATCAACGTGGAAAGCATTAGGGGAGGCCTATGTTCAGCAGTGGACGTCCTATGGCTGAAATGATGATGCCCAAGTAACACGCAAGCTGTATATTCACTGAAGTTAAGATTGATTTACGNTTTTGAAACTGTCACAACAGCCAATGTGCAGAGGAGCCTAATCACTTCTAAAGCTGACAGAAAAAGTTCTCAGTTTTAAAACTACTTTACAACAAGTAAAGGTTTAGCCAAACCAACGCGATCACACGCGATCTGCCGGCGTGCAGCGATGGCGATCAATGCATTTAAGTCTGGTCGCCATCGCTGCACGCCGGCTGATCGCGTGTGATCGCGTTGATTTGGCCGAACCTTAAGTCATATTATAGGTCTTACGCTTAATTGAGTCAGTTATGGGAGAGGCACGGAATTGGCATTATGACGTGACAGAGCAGACAAATCTATATCACATCTGAAATCTCGCTGACGTTATTTATTTATTTTTATTTATTTATTTATAATCTGCTTGAAGGCTTACAGAAAGTCCAACGCGCCAACAAGTTATAGGTACAATACAGATAATTTATAATATCAATTTCAATATGTAAAATTGTCAAATAATTAAAACGATAAATTAAATAATAGTCAAATAACATTAAAATTAAATACATAAAATAATTAAGTCCAAAATAGAATGTCATACCTAAGACTACTAATAAGAATAAGAGATAAATACATTTATGTCCAGAGATCAATGTCAAAGTTATTCAAAGTTATTACTTACACAAAAATCTATGAATTAATACCATTATTGTACCTAAGCGGTCGGCAAATATGTCGATATCGTGCTGAGCAACTAAGTCCCCGATTAAACGTAATGCGCGGGTAGAAGGCGCGCTCGCTGCGCGAGTGGTG